CAGAAATTACCCCCCTTTTATCTGTGGCTCTTTCTGCAATTGTTTAGAGGAGGGAGAGAAAAAAAAAAAAACCAACACATTTCTGAAACTGAAAAAGACCAACGGGCGTGTAAAGGTAGATTTTTGGAGGCTGCACAGGCCTGCCTCCCCAGGTGTGGTTGCTCTTACATTTCTCTGCCACTTTTAGATGATCCTCCAAGCCCAAAAGGGAATGTCTTACATTAAGCCAGCTCATTCAGGCATATCCCCACTCCAATTCCCTGGCCACCAAAATTCTCTCCAGCTTTAGCGGCAGCTTTTTTTTTTTTTTTTTTTTCCTCTCTCCCCTCTGTCCTCTTTGGCCTCTTGAATGATAACCTTGAATGGTATTGTCTCGGGGCATGAAGGAGGGTAAAGAAATTCCTTGGGTCTTGACAGAGAGCAGGAAGGCTTGACAAAAGGCATCAGCTCTCCCTAAATCAGAGAATGTGGGGGGATATGAAAAGGGGGCAGTTTTTCATTCAGGTAAAAAGCGTTGACAGAAAAAGGATGGGGAACAATAGCTCAGCCCTGATGGAATAAAACACTTCTCTCTGTGCTTTTTAAACTAGCGAAAAATGTGATTTCAAAAGTGAAACCCAACTACCATGATGAAATCTGAGGCAAGGAGAGGTAGAAGAGAGATCACTATATTAGAGCAGATTCTATGGATTGAACAGTGATATGTGGGACTGATTGTATTTGGTTGAGTCCATTTAACCCAACTCTTTCCCAGTCTATAGAAGAGGCTTTCAGAGAAGCCATTAGGCCTCAGATAGTCATTCTGATAACGACCACATGGAGATCAATTGAAATTCAATCTGTGAATAAGTTGCCCGGCCTCTTATATTCTGCTCTGCACACTCTATCCGACCCTCTTCCTCCTCCACCGCTGAAGACTTATCAAGCATCAGCTGGCTGCCATGGCAACTGAAACAAAACTCCGAAAGGCGCTAAGGTTTTACAAACAATGGTTGTCGGCAAAAAATGCAGCAAGGTAAACAAACAGACCTCCCAGGTCTGTGTGGATAGAGCTGCACTTGAACCTCGATTCCCAGAAAGCTGAGTGAGGGCATCTTTAAGTTTGGCCTGAAGGCGTGATCGAGGCTGCTAAAGGAAAACTAGTTATTTGGTTTCCTAATAACCTCCGTGGGCTGCAAACAGAGGGCCTGTGGATGCCGGTGGGAGCAGGCTTTGCACGTTTATGATCTTTTCTGTATGTCTGGGTTGTTTTTTTTTTTCAGTGTCGTGTAGCTGCTGCAGAGCTTCTGTAACAACCTTCTGGTGAATTCCACCAACTATCCTCACGGCAGCCTCATGGAGCACTGCAATGATTTCATCATGAGACGCCCATCTGTTGTTCATACTGTCTGAAATTGAAGATTTCCTTTTTGTGCTTTGGGACAAGCTGTGAAATTCACAAAAGACCTTATTAGTTGGAACTGGAAAGACTCTGAATTGAAGATTTTAAAAATTCTTTGAAAGATTGCAGTTCGCAGCACAAAAGAAGATGAAGATTTCAAATCCATTTCTATAAAGAGAAATGCTTTATAGTGAACATCATGCCATAATTAGTCTGGATGCGGGTGTGGGCCTGCCATGTCTCCTCCCTTTGGTTATCTACGTGAGAAACAAAAACAACAACGTTCCACATTGAAATTGGGAGGATTTGGATCATGCAATAAGTGAATCCAGCTCATTTCGATGCAAATGTTCCACCAAAACAATTCCTCCTGTCACTGTTTTGCAGGAACACTGTTGCTGCATCCTGGGCTCAGCTCCATCCAACATTTTTCTGATTTGTTTAAAGAAACACACACAAGCAGGGTGTTTTATTTTTCCCCTACAGCAAAGTGGTAATGAGGTGCAGTCAGGCCATTCTGCAGGATACAGCATGCTGTAATTAACATATTCCTTTATGTTTTCTCTTAGGCTTTTGCTATTGCTTATTCTGCTAGAACGCCTCTATTTTCCCAAGAGAACCACTGGGTTTTATGGTGTTTTATGAAGTCTAGCATGCAGTTTATTGCTAGTGTTTGTTCAGTTCAGTCGTTCTCAGGATGGGTCACAAGACATGAGATTTTAGTTAAGAAATGAGGGAGGAATCCACAAAACTGTTTATGCTGGAAAAAGAAAGAAAAGAAAGTCTGTGATGGAAGGTCACGAGGAGGCTTTACTCTCATTTAAAAGGTCAAAAGCCGAAAAAGGTTGAGGAGCGCCGCTGTAGCTGACAACCACATGCTAAATGACACAAATCCCAGACTGTCTGTTTGTGCAAATCGCAGTGTATCTGTGTCAGCTTAGCAAGTAAGAAGGACAGGAAGTATCTGTCTACAGCAGCATGCATGCAGAATCAGAGCCCGAGGTAGTTGCTTCGCACAACTCCACACTTCTTTCTAGCAGCTCGCCTCATAAACATTATGCGAAGGAACGTTTTCTCATTCTTCTTAATCTTTTTCCCACATCCCAGTCGCCAGCCTCCCTACCTCTGGTTTTCAATAACCCACATAGTGAGTGTGGAGGATGGGATTTGATGGAATTAAGCATCCTGGGAAAATAAATAAATCAAATAAATAAAAAGCCAAACGAGAAACGTGGGACAACATATGATACAGAACTGAATTACACCTTAGCTATAGGTTCGTATTTTTTTGTTCGTTTTGCTCCCACGGTGATTTTTTGCGGGATCTGTCCTAATAGTGTCAACATGTGAGCGCTCACGTTGATTTGCAGGAGTTTTATCCCCCCCCAAAAATAACAGAAAACAGTGACAGGGAAACCTTTTGATTTTTAAGAAGGTACACAGTGGAACTCAGCTGCTGTCTTTGTTGTGGCTATAATTCCCGTCTTGCCTGTAGTCTTAAAGCAATTTTCAGCGTTCACTGTCATCGTCACAATCTGACCTGATGTGGAAACTATGCACCGAAGTCTTTCTTTTTCCCCTCCTACTCTCCGGTGCCGGCTCCACGGCACAGCGGCTGAACGTTCTTGATCGTCTTAACAAATGTGTTAATCAAAGCATGATTGAGAATCCCCATAAATTGTGATTTTCTCAAATGGAAATATAACACTTTGCTGGATAGAATAACAATGTCTTTGGGAAACAAAGCCACTTTTAGTCTCCCTTCCATTTTGCTGCAAGGAAATTCAAATTGATTACATGCTGCTGTATCTCTGCATTACACAACACTTGAAAGAGAATTTTAGATTTTGTTTAATATTAATCATGAATACATTATCACGCTGGCATGCTTTGCAGTCTTTACTGTTACAAATTTGAATCAAAACACATTCGATAACATTATATAACAGGGAATATTTAAATCGCTGCACGCATGCATTCTCGCTCAACCTCGCCTGCGTTCTTATACCTTGTAGAATCGTGGGTTTTTATGTTCATCAGGGGTCCACGGTGACTGCTTGAACAGGGATTTACATCAAATACTCCTGTTTTACTTCTGCCGTACTGCTCTGCTAAAGGTAGTAATTTTAGGTCTGAGGCAGAAACTCGTCTGAAGTTCTCTTAAGGGTCTGAGGGGGAAACGGCTGAGTTGTTGCGTATGAAAATCCCCGGATCCCCTCTGATCCTGAGCTGTAATGACACAGACTTGGTCAGAGCCTTTTTATATCCCTTCATTCTCATCAACATGCCAGAGTTTCACTGAATTGATTTTCTACCACCAGTGCCACAGTCGGCCGCCCTATTTTTTCTCACAGAACTGCACCAGTGACATTCGTTGTCCTTTTAGAAAGGCGACGGGGGAAAACGCAGATGTCTTTTTCACTTTTCCTGCTCCACCTCAGATGTTAGCCAGTTTGTCTAGCCCATCTGCATTAGCATGTGGATTAATTCCAGCTTGTTATCTGGTCGAGATGTAATAAGCCAGTCCTGGATGGCACCAGTAATCAGGTTGGAAGGCAGTGCTTTCTTGTCTCCTCTTCCTCTGCTGCCATCTTCACATCCCAAAACTGATAGCAGGGCAGACACATCGGAGGGGATTAAGCTAATGTGATGGCGGAGCCACCTACCAGGGGGCCCCACAGGGTAATTTTAAGAGACAGGCCTTGACATCTAGGGAATAACTTGTCAGGACCTGGCTGCAGGCAGATATTGAGGATATTAATCCTTAATGTAATGGCCTTGACTAGATTTTACTCTTGTCTCAGTGCGCAGCTTTAAGCACAGTCATAAGTCTCTTTAATCACTGACATAAAGCAGTCCCTCAAGGATTTTCCAGAGTTTTACAGTAATTATTGCGTACCAAAAAATGCTTGTTTTTTTCACTGTTGCCTGTGTGAGAAATTGCCAAGCCATTTGCATATGTTCGTTGCTTATTTGTAGCGGGTTTATGAGCTGCTGGCAGAGGAGCGCTTTGTTTTGTTGCACTGAAATTGTGATGAAGTGGGTAAAATCACTATCCGTGTCATTGTACAAAATATCGTGGCGCTTGTTCCGAGGTAAAACCGTTGGAACAGGTCGGAGCTGCCTCGGCTGGAAACCGACGATAAGGTGAAATGTAAAATAAAACCATGTAGGTGAGGTCAAACGTATATCGCCGTTTCAAAAAGAAGCGGCTCATTGTCTTTTTTCGCCGTTTTAATTAAAACATAAAACCAAAAGAATGTGAAGGAATCCGCACAAAAGCTGGGTTTAAATTCATTTCACCTCGCCGGGTATCTGGATGGGACAAAGTAAAGAAACCCTGCTTTGCATTTTTATTCACGCTAATGAAAAGATTGTTAAATTATGGAAGCCAACAGAGGCGAGGTCTCCCACAAAACATTGCAGACCTTCTGCGAGGAGCCCAGGGAGCACCTTGACGATGAGAGTTCGTCCTTGCCGCAGGTCTCCCCTCGCAAGCTGCGCCTTGTCAGCCTCCAGCCATGTTTTGTGATATTTTTGAACCCCCAGCGATCAGTCATGTTGCCGCAATTCCCTCGTCGCCGACTGACTCTCCTCCGTCTCTTCGTCTCGTCCTCAGGTCTGCTCATAGGATCCGGCTGCGCTCTCTATCCGCTGGGGTGGGACAGCGAGGAAGTGCAACAGACCTGCAACAACAGCTCGGACCAGTTTAAACTAGGTAAGACGTCTACATGGGAAGATGCATCACACACTCGCAGCCTGACAGCCTGCACACACACACACACAGGGCCCTTAAATGACACACAGATGGTGCATAAATTAGTCCTGTGTTCGCGGAATGCTTCGGTCCCAGAATAGAAGAATCGATGAAAACATGTGAAGCTGAGAACAGACTTTTATGTCTGACACTTGACATTCTGCCTTTTTCAGCGCGCAGACACAAGACTCCGGTTCTGTCAAATACTGAAGAGATATGATTTCTTGGTGTTTAAAATGCAAGATAAAAAGTCAACAGAACCTCCAGTAGCTGGCGATTTCGAAAGTGTTTTATGGCTATAAATATGTGCTGAGAATAAGCAGGAGCTCGATTTTTGTGCTCTGTATGCAGCTGGCATTTTAGGACTATCTCACAGACAGTAATGTGCTACTTTATCAGACACTGGGGAGGTGGAAGAGATCTTCATACTGCAGCTGCTCCTTTATTTGATGTTAATCAAATACCGTTTGATTCTTTGCTGAAATATTTTGTGGACGTAAATTAACATTATTGCCAGACATCACAACAGTGTATTGACAAGTTATGTGGTGTCAGTGGGTTTTAAAACACTTCCTTAGATTTCCCTTTAAGCCTGACTGATTGTGTTTTGTTCAGAGCTGACATTTTTGACCCGAGGATGGCACGCGCAGAAAACTCATGCGGCGTTAGAAATGAGAAGGCTCATCCTTGTGGAAACATGAATTTAGTCAGCGGATATCAGCGCAATCTTTCCGATCGATTTTGACGTTTGTCATGCACAAACGAACACTTTCACATGATGGCGGTGGTTCTATAACAACAGTGGGATTCATCAAAGACACAAGGGAGCGTGGATATCCGCAGCCAACTTCCAGGAAATTCAATTGTTGGTTTGTTATAAGTTTCGACCCAGCAGAGGCACCGCATCGACAAGAGATGGCAAATATCTGGATTCCTTTTCACTACAATCTGATCGGTAGTTGTTAAGATACACTGATAAACCGGAACAACGAAACAACCTGCATAGTTCACCCTGGTGCGGCCAAAACAACCCGGACATGTCGGGGCATGGGCTTCTGGAGGTGTGGTTGGTGCAAATATCGATGCCATGATCCAAGTTTTCGATGATATTCACTTCAGCTGTTTTAATATTGTGGCTCATGGCTGCGTCTCACTGGATAAATGGATGAAAGACAAACAAACATCAACATCCTTTTGAAACCGCTGCCAACAAATCAATGAATATCAAACAGGCAAATGTGTTAAGAACTATCTACTTTTTTTTATTGTCAGAATCACCAGGTTTTGTTGCATCTTCTGTCATGTCACTCATGGATTCCAGCTCCGTCAACGTCATGCAAATGTTCCCGCAGCATCTAAATCCAAACCATTTCCACATAATTCAAACTGAAGTTATTACGACTGATTTAAATTCCTAAACATCTCATCTTAAACATTTCAGAGCGTGTCATCAGAAGCAATTATGCTGGATATCCAGTTTTCATATTTTCCCCCTGGTTTCCCTTTTTGAAAGAACAGACTCTTGTTACATATAAATTATTGTTAACAAGCGCGTTTGCATCAGCGTGCTGTTTTCAGCGCTGCTGGCAAATTAAATTTCCTCGTTGAAGACCACAGCTATTGCGGTTTCACCTCACTCTCTCGCATGCACTAGATGGTGATGCTCTCCCATGCAAACAGTGGACTTCACACCAATGACGCGTTCCTGCCTCGATTCGTCTCTCATCCATTAATCATGAAGAGCGATAAGTTCGAATGTCGCTGCAGGACGCGTTGACTGTACGCAAGTTCAGTCTGGAAATCAGCATACTTACGTCAACAGATTGAAAGCATGAAAAAAAATCCAAGTCGCTGCTTTGACAGAACGTGTTTTTCAAACGGAATATTCCCGTCATTAATTTTAATTAGTTAATAGATCAACTACATCCACGTTTCTGTGAAGAGGGGATGTCAATTTTCATTAAGTGTGACTCAGAGAAATAAGTGTTTTCAATTTTGGCTGTTAAATCCGGTTTCCACAGTGACAAGACGGATCATATGATTTGTGTGATGCCTCCTCCTCCTCCCACCCACCTGGTAATTAGATAACTGTATTCCGTCGTATTTTCTCATAGAAATTGATCGTAATGAGAGGTCCTGATGGTCATCACAACATTTTCCAAAAATCAGATGCACGTCGCATCCTGTTTAATAACGCACATCATTTTTTTATTGCATTTTTTTCTGAGGGATTATTGAAAATGTGTCTTAAGGCGGCTTAAGGACTTACGTTTAATTTGAGGTTCAGCATTTTGTGTCCCCTGGTTCCACGTTGCTAAACATCCGTACTGCGCATTCAACACATACCGGTGAAGTTAAACTATGTTCTGTGCCTTTGGTTTAACAATGCGAACGCTTTTTTCACAAGAAGAAGACAAATGTAGTAGCCTGAGCAGAAATGTTAAACAGTTCACACACCGTTCTCTGTGCTTCAACACTGATGTGCTACCGTTGGATCTAAGGCGGAGGTATATGCTGTATTCTCATGACGTATTGCACACAGATAGATTATGCATTTCAAATGAACATTTGTGTCTTAAATGATAACACTTAAATTATCATTCCAGACATGGACGAGCTGTTGGATCCAATTTTATATCCCCCTGCTGTGCATTTAATCTCAGTGGAGTAAACACTGAAGCTCTTTTTTTTATTTTTTATTCTAGAAGTGATGTGAGATTTATAAGCAATATTCCTACTTCTCCACTTTCCTTCTAACGCTGATTCTTGTTATAACCAGAATCGAATGAGGGATTCCTTGGCCAAAGGGCTTATCTGTTCAAATTTCATTTAAATCAATTCATGGGATTTTGGAGATATCCTGACACGCAGACAGATAAAAAATAAAGGGTGAAAAGATTGTTTTCCCTAAATCCTCTTGCTTTCCTCTGCAGGTTCCTGCCAGATCGGCTGGGCGTATTACTGCACGGGGGCGGGGGCGGCGGCCGCCATGCTGCTGTGCACCTGGTTGTCCTGCTTCGCGGGGAAGAAGCAGAAGCAGTACCCGTACTGAAGGCGGCTTCAGAGAGACGGGGTTGCGGACGGACGGACGGACAGAGACCTCGGGCGGCGTACGACAAAAGGGAGAGGACTCTGACTCTGTGGACTCACACCAGTACAGCACATCAGGCACCAAAGACACCAAGTCATTATGGTGCTCTGCACATCATGGGACACTACTCATCTGACAACTGCAGGGACTGTTTCATAATGCAGCACACACACTCGCACACACACTCACACACACACACACGGCTTTGAAAACTGGTACTTCTCTCAAAACCTGTTCTTAAATGAAAAATGTATGGACCAATCCTATTTGTAGACTTGTTACATGACTATTTCTTTAACGAGTATTCTCTGCTTTTTGTCTTCCTTTTTTTTTTTTTTTTTTTTTCCTCCTCCCTCCGGTCATTGATGTTTATGTGATAGTGTTCCCCTGTGACGAACAGCAAAGTAATATTGCCTCATTGTTACGTGAAGTGTTTTGCTTCCCCCTCTTCATGTTTCATTCTTGCCTTAAACACAAAACTAAAATGCAATAATCCCTATAACGTACAGCAATCCAACACTGGCTGCCTGCTTCCTCGACTCAGCCTTTTCAGATTCCAAAAAAAAAAACAAATCTAAGCATAGTTTATTTAACACATTCATAAGATATACATTGTGTATGGTAATGTATTTTATCATATTATCACATGTTTTGTATTCACTCTTGAATTATTATTTTGTCATTATTTTGGTTTTGTAAATAAATGTTTATTGAAATACTGGATTCAGAGTGTGTTTTTCTTCCTTTTTTTAGCTGTGGACTTTGCCCTGAAGCAAAGTGAACCGGCCTGCACTCGCATTCCTAAAACGCTTTTCCCATGACTTCTTGACTTTGCAAAATGCTCGCTACATGTGGAAGTCCTTTCTTTACCGATCAAGAAAGAAAGATAAGGCCAGACAGTGCTGTGAATTAAATTTTTCACTGGTATTGATGAGGTAAATCTCGTGACCTCTAGTCGGGAGTTTTTGCCTTTTGATCGGGTTTCTGAACTTCAAAAAAGCTTCCAGACAAAGCCTGAGATGCAATCGCGCCCTGGGAAATTGAGCAGCTCTGCATCCATTGGGCCATCAGCTTAATGGCAAAGGGTATCTCATAGTTCCTCAACCTGCCTTCGTAGTGTGAATAACAATAATGCTAACCTTTTTATTTAGCAATTACCACGGGCTGCATGTGTGCCGTCAGAGGCGTGAGCCACACTCAGCTTTTCGGTTACTATTTTTAGCCGTCGGTTCGTCTCCGCTTTTTTTTTTTCCTCCTTTGATTAACAAACACCACATCCCCAGCCCACAGTGTACAAAGTCAGCTCATTTACAATGCAGCTGTTCTCGGCGTATTTGGCCCTCATTAGCATGCCCATTTTCTCACAACGTGCAGCATTCCAGCAGATAATGGCAACGCCTCCTCCTCTCCATCTCACTTGAGAAATATCTCTCACGCAGTAGTTGCTCTGTCTAATACGTTAGCGCGCCTTCTCTGCATTCTGCTCCGTCTCTCTGATCTGCCTGCGCTGATTGATATCAGCGGTGATTGTTACAGAGTGTCAACCAGATGCCTCATCAGCACCGGCAGACACATTGGGGTCAAGTTGGAGTGCTCCTTTCCTTCATATCAAGCAGCCGCATCTCGGAGTGACAGGGTGTACCGTTCAATCTGAGCTCTTGTTACACGTAGGCGGATGGTTGTCTTTAAACATGCAAAATGTGTGGTAACTTGGGCGTACAGCGGCTCCCGTCAGCGGCTGAGTAAAGGGGTATTACAACTTGTTGTAACTGATGTGAATTCAGACTGACTGCTGCTGATGTTCTCCGTGAGTAGCATGATTTTTTTATGGCGTAAGGGCTGATTTCTACTTAGCTCCTTTGTACCGACATAAAGGCAGAAATCTTTGCTCGATAAACCTGCAAATGTGTGCGTTATATCCCGGAATTTAAAGAGCTGACGTACAAAGAATGGTAATTTTAAACCCTAACGGAGTCGGGGAAACAAAGACGTTTGTTTCAAAGGCAAAATATTTAAAAGACGGAGGAGAGAGATTACCTGATGGATCCGCTCTTTGGAGCATTATTATAATTTCACACTGGAAGGTCAGCTAAAGTTTATTCCTTAATTCATTTTCTTTAACCTTTAAGGAAAATGCCATAAGAGATGAAAACAAAGTTAATCAAACCACCAACTGAACTGCTGTTGAAATCACAGGCGCTCAAAAATGTGCAGCATCTGTTAGAAAACCCCCGAGAGTTCAATTTAGGAAGTCTGTATTGTCATTTTGGTGAAGATGTTTCCTTCAGTTCGCTTGCTTTTTGTCTGCCAGTGGTTGCGGCGTGTTGCGCTCTCGGGGGCCGCTTTAATTATTTAAGGACGAAAGCTCTGAATCACCTTTGCAGGGTTCAACTTTGGCAGCCAGATAGATCCAGCCACATCAATTAATTCTTTCTAATTATTATTTTTTTCCCCCCCACCCTGATAGTTCCCTAGTGAGATAATTGCTGCCCTTAAGAGCAGCTCTGCTTGAAAAAGGTTTTGTGCTACTATAACACCAATCTCCATAAAGATATTGCATAATGGATATTGCTGCGGGATAGCAAGATAGTGAGCCCTGTCTGCATCCACAGAGAGCCTGCATAGCAAGATAGTGGTCTGTCGCCCTCAACACAACTCATTAACTGTTATTTTGTTGTGAATATGCAGGCGGTGGCACAAATAGCAGCCATATGACGAATTTCAATGCTGTAGTATACGCGGCACAATAACAAACGCAGCTACACCAACTCTGCCTCCACAACATTACGCTCCCATACAACTGAACTGCATTTTGTGAGAAATGTGATGTCATTCTGAAACAAACGTACTTGTGGTGCAGTAGGAAAGGCAAATAACTGTTATTTTAATACGGCATATTTTAACTGAGGGTCAATGAGTCAAAGTGCTTTCCAGTTGAGAAATACAGGTTCCTGCAGATTTATTAATGATGGGAATTTCCATCCATCCATCCATTATCTATATACCGCTTAATCCTCACTAGGGTCATGGGGGGCTGGAGTCTATCCCAGCTGACTCAGGGTGAAGGCAGGGGACACCCTGGACAGGTCACCAGTCTATCACAGGGCTACACTTAGAGACAGACAACCAAGCACACTCACATTCACACATACGGACAATTTAGAATCACCAATTAACCTCAACGTGTTTCTGGACTGTGTGGGAGGAAGCTGGAGAACCTGAAGAGAACCGAGGCTGCACGGGGAGAACATGCAAACTCCATTATGTGAATTTGAGGAAGTAATTTAAGTTTTGGGGCTAAAACTCTCCATAATTATATGAAATACAAATTTAACTGACTACATAAGAATATAAGGTTAATATATAATGTATATAATAGTGACACCAGTGCCGTCCACCAGCCTGCCTTATGTGATCTTTGTGCTTTTTCACTTTTTTTTTCACTTCAGCATCAATAAAGTTTTGTCTTATTTTATCTTTTCATTGTTTTTAGCTAAGGAAACTTAACTGACTAATTTAAAAACATTAGAAATGGTGAGGAAGAACAACCCCCAGCAGAACCAGGCTGGGAGGGCAGCTGTCTGCCTCGACTGGTTGGGGTTGAGGGTAAAGCAGAGAGAAAAGGACGGCAGAAACAAAAAGAAAGCAAACAAGAGAACATAAATTCCGGGCTTCTGGTTTGAAAGATCCACAAAGTTCGCATACGGAGGTCAGAGGGGTCATCGGCCAGGCTGACCTCTGCCTCCCAGGAGACCGGCGCTTAAACTTATTAAGTTAAGCTGGTATTCACTCGCTGTTTGTTTAGGTTTAGGCACCGAAGCTACTTAGTTAGGCTGAGGAGAAATATCACAGTTTGGGTTAAAATATGGCTCTTCCACAACATGCTTGTTTTTCATTTTCCTGGTTAACTAACTGATGAGTCCCACTCACATAAGTTTATTTGAAATATGTCACAAACAAATGCAAAATATATTTGTCTCAAGACATAATCAAAAAATGTGGTGTAGCTGTATAGGATGTTTACATTTTTTTTGTGAAATATTGAGCGTAGATTTGGGTTATCTGAAAAAACAGTTTAAGGGCTGTTGGAAAGTTAAAAATCTGACAAATTTTTCTGTTTTTACAGCTTCTGGCTGATGAATGATGTCATTTTGGGGATTATTTTTAGAGAAAGTGAATGTTTTGGGGTGTATAAGGTTAAATAGGATTGTATTTTCTGGGAGATTAGCTTGGCTACGGCCAATGATCAGAATAAAAGCCAACCTCGGGTGACCTGATGGTTCCTACTACATGGGTGTGAATGCCATCAGTAGTGAGTCCCTGGTTTGAAACCTGGCACCCTGACAGTATGGTGTTCTCTTTTCTCGCATTTCTTATCTATCTTCATTCTTTATCTAATATCAAAAGGCAAAAATGCCAAAAAAAATAAATACAAATTTTGAATAGACAAACACAGGAAGTGTTTTGGACCCAGCGCTTTGAAGTGACTCCATCGTGTTGATTTAAAATATAATCCCAATCACATATTCTGTTCTTTGTCGCCCACTGTGCTTCCCCAGTCCCCGCTCCACTTAAAGGAAAACTGCCAATTAGCTGCGAACGTCTGCGTTTGGAGATCTGGCAATTACCTTGTTAATATGGACGGAGAAGTGAAGGGAATTCGTGATAAAATACGACAGACAAACCGCATCAGCAAAGAGGATCAGAGGCTGTTGCTCAAAGCTCACAGACAGGGATAGATGGATTACAGCTCAAGGTTCACTGGTTCACCCCCAGGGATGCAGGGAGGCAGTGGTTAGCGGGCTTTCTAAATTAGCAGTTTGTTTGTTCTCAGGAAAAGGTAAAGCCCATACTGGGAGGGCATATTTGAGCAAGGGTGAATGTCTGCTCAATATTAATTGTGCCGCTGTTTGCCTTTTAAAGACCATGTATGTGCACACAAATACAGGTGTTTCCAATCCTGCCTGATTCCACCTTTGCTCGGGTTCAGAGCAGGTGGCGCTCTGCCGCTCGTTACGTGAGGTCGCCGGACCCCAGAACAGGCCGGCGGGTATTTTCACAGGCGATAACATTAGCGATGGCTCATTTGCATTCAGGTGTTCCGGTAAGCAATGACAGCGTGACACCTGTGCTTTTCCTGCCAAAACGTCACCGGTGGAAATGATTTTATGTGTCCGACGCACTAACATGTGAAAGCGACAGAAGGCAGGAGAGTCTGGGAGATGTTACACCGTCCTGAGAACGGGTCTAATCAGCCAGAATAATTAAAATCACATGTGTGGGTTTGTCACATTTTTTTCCTCACTGTGGGCTCATTTTTCACTTCTCCATAAAATCCTGCACCTCTTTGGAAACAGCATCGCCGTGACTTGAAGTAGAGAGAAGTCAAAAACCTTTCCAGTGCAGCACAGTACAAAAAAAATGCCATAAATCACTTTTCCAAGTGTCCGCAGGTGTTACCGATAGTGGGAAAAAATGGTAGCTCTGCATGCTCGATATTTTACTACTTACATTTTTACAACCTTAACAAATTAGGTCTTTCTTCACGCTGCTCTTGAATTTCACCATGTTAAATGTATCTTTCACCAACTTCCTGGCTCGTTCCTCTTCTTATACCTTTTTTTTTTCCTTGTTGAATTAATTCTTACTGATCAAGTATATGTTATGGGCTGCAAGGTGGCGCAGTTGGTAGCACTGTTGCCTCGCAGCAAGATGGTTCGCGT